CGGGGGAGCTACCTGGATCACTATCTGCATAAGCAGCTGTAATTCCTTTTTTGTTTATCTTTTTGTGGTGTAATGGGTGTGGTGGAAGAACACCGGAGAGATTGGACACTTTCATATCTGAATCACTATGTTCATCTTGTAGTCTATAGATGATTTCGACGACTTCCACCAACCAACACTGTTAATCAAGAAGATAAGTTAATTGTAAAATTCAGCAGAGCAAACAATATCAGTCAAAGGAAAGTTCATTTCCCCGAGATCCCACAAGATAACAACAAAATCAAAAAAATATTTCCATTCTTCCTCGAAACAAGTAGGAATGATTGTCTTGTGTGTTCGCTCGTATTGCAGAATGCCGTGAGATGGAACATGCATCCTCCATAACTCAATTCGGTTGTCTATGAAATGCAAAGATTAAAACAATAATATATCACGGACAAAATCTCGATAAACACCTACCATAAGTATGTAGGGAAAACACGCTCATTCTTGAGAACGTTTCGCACGAAGCTCCTCGAAATCGTTCTCCGATCTCTTCCAGCATATATGCATTGCCTATTGGCAATTTGCAACAACCATCCCACGTTGATCGAGGGAGATCTTTATCGCCATACCCACCACTTATCTCCAAATGTCCGACTTCTATAGAAGATTTCTTTAATCGCACGGAAAAGACACCATCTGCTTTTTGTTCAAATGAGGTGACACACTTGCGCCTTTCGCGGCATGCTTTAACAGAAGACAAGATTATTTCTCCTCTTAAGTAGAGGGTATCAAGATTTGCAAATTCATAAGTAACTAAATATCACAAAAACTGTCACAAATGAAGACCAAATTCGCTCACATGTGATAATGCAAATTCTTTTCTAAGCCAAAAAGCATACTTTTCAAGGAAAGGTGAATAACGTAACCACCGTAGTCTGATTCTGATATATTTGATTGTTGCATGATTGAATATTCCGGAAAGACATCCTGATGACTATGAGAAAAGGAAGAAATTTCAGTTTATGGAAAACCAAATACGGTCATAACGAATAAATAATACTTACAATATTGATAGAAGGCTTGTAATATCTAGGGGTTAGAAGAATACGTAATAGTGACCACTGGGGTTGGGGCGGTTCAAAAAAAACTGGTTCGAATCGCGGTTTAGTGAAACTAACTTCTTATTGGATAAATCATATGGGTATCACAAATGTATTTTTTTTTTATAATAATAATAAATATATTAAAGAAAGAAATGTATTAAAAACCAAAACTATTTTCCTATATTGTTTGTAACCAGCTTTTCATACACAGGCATGCCCGTGCAGTTTCTGGCAACAAACGATTTCGTGTTTTACTGATCGTATACCCGGCGATTGAGAATGTTTGCTCTGAAAAGTAATCTTGTGCTATATTGCTTAGGATTGGGTATTCCTTGACATGTGCCTTCCACCATAGAAGAGGATCAGTTTCTTCATCTATTTGTAGTGCGAAATAACGGTCTAATTCTGATCCCGTGGATACTGAAGAAGTTCGCTGTGGCATTATCATCCTGGTCGAGCTGAGTGAAATATCTTCTAGTGGAAAATGCTGACATTCTTATCGGAGACGATGTATTTGTAGAGTGCACTTTATATGTTTCATAAATGTTTTGGACATATTTACGAGCACTTTGCGTGTATTCTTCAGTGAAAATAGACAGCTTAATTCGGGGATCTAGAATTGCTGAAGTAATTGAGGAATTATCCATGATGTTCTAGTGTTCCATGTCGCAATCCAAGAAAGGAAACCAAAATGGTCGCAAAGGTGGTTGCAACCAGGTGTCACAAACCATTTTTATATGTCGCAAATATGGTTGCAACCATCACCAAGAATTGCGACCAGCATCTATATGATGTTCCAATACTCTCCAATTTTTTGATTTATCGAAGCTGCTATGTAAAATAAATTTTTTTTGAATATTTATCTAGGTGCCTCTAAGGTTGCTTGCCGAACTTCCTCCAGAAATCAATCAGCAGGGTTTCGGCAGGTTACACATTAATTGTTTATTAGAGTTTCGGCAGAGTTTTGCATTTTGAGGTTTCGCCATTTCGGCATAGTTTCAACAGGATTTTTGATAAGAATTAATATAGTTTTGCCGTGGTTTCAGCAATTACTGAGGAGGTTTCGCCCACAACCTTATACTAAAGTGATCAAAAAAGAATTTATGGAGTGAGAACTTGGAATTTACAATTTATAGTTATAATCAAAAATTTTTAAAAACCCTATTGTGATAATAATATTAAAATATTATTTTTTTTTTTTGTAAATTTTGGAACTTTTGTTCGATTTAAAAATATAAATAAATATTAACTTTATTAATAATTTTTTTTCCAAGGTTTAATTAATAATAAATCCGCATTGGTCCAGTGGTTAGGATTTCGCGCTTTCACCGCGACGGCCGGGGTTCGATTCCCCGATGCGGAAAACATTTTCGATATTTGTTTTTTTATTTTTAAAATAATAATTATGCACACGTTGGATGATTATTTTATTAAGGGTAGACAACGATCTAAATAAAAATTAATAATAAAAGGTAATGAATGATAAATTTGATTGATACAAGAATTATTATTATTTGGTTACAATATTAATTAATACAATAATTTTCTAAAAAACAGACCATTTGTTATTATTACCAACGGAACCATTTTCTGCTACCTTTTCCCTTATTTAAAAATAAGATATGCATAATAATGATGATATGTTTATAAAGTATTTCATTTGTGTTTAAAAAGAAAATTCGATTTATTTTTCACTGACATGTAAGATATGTAGAATATATAGAAAGAAAAATACTATTGACTTCCACTACAACCCCTCAACTGGGGCTAGTTTAATAGGAAAGGAGTAATTAGTTTGTCGAAAAAATATCATCTTTTAACCCACACATAATTGATAAAATAACAATTACCCTTAATAATTACGATTAATTATTTAATTTTATATATGCATGGCGATCGCATTATCCCGTTTATCGTTAAATAAATCACATGACTACTCTTAATTAGTATTATTGATTCCATAAATATATCATTATTTTTATTGGTACAAACAATTACACTGTAAGATCCCCTAACTTGTTACATTTTTTGGTTATTTTGACGTATTATCAAATTAGTAAATTAATAATAATCACTTATTTGGGAATAGTAGGAGAGTTTTCAAATAATAATAAATAAAATAAGACTTGAATATAAATTTTGTGACTTTCTAAAAAACAATATTTAACATGTTGCGAAAAAAACTTTCCTCTTTGTTCTTCGAAAATTTTTTTTAACGAATTTATATATTATATATTTATTCATTTATCACAAAGTGCTACTACTTACTATCCCTTGGCATAAAATTAGAATTTTAACACAAACTATTCTTTCTTTTGCCGTACACCAATAATATATATTTTATATATATTATATACATATTTTTCTGTCTGGGTACAGGAAAAAAAGTTTTTAGATACATACATACCTACCATATAAATACTCTGTCATCTTTTTTACATTTAAAAACAACATAAATATATAAATATAATAAATTCTTAAATTTTTTACACAACATTTTCACATTCATTTCAAATTCTTCCTCGTATATATATAATCTACTTTGCTGGACGAAGCGCACTTTTAAAAGCATTTGTTTTTTGTAGTCTTTTAGTCGTGTATATAAATAACTTTATATTTATCATTTATAAATAAAAAATGGGTAAAGTGGTTTGGAGTCAGTGGGGAAGATTAGTGGCACTTACTGCTGGAGTTTGTAAGTTTATCTATTATCATCATTAATCTTTAAATTACAATTATTTTGAAATAAAAGAAATTAATCAAATATATTATATTTTGTTTATTAGTTGAAACAATAGGAGGAATATTTGGTATTTTTTATCAATTGTCGATGTTTGGTAAATTGACTCCGTAAGTTTTTTTCTTCAAATTTTAATTGTTCTTCTAATTTTAATTTTAATTTAATTTTAAAAAAATTTCAAATAATTACAGGATATTTGACTCAATTATTCTTAATATAAACATTGTGGCTATTATTTGCATGTATGTATAAAAAATGTTAATGATTGCTAATTAATTATGCTCGTGCACACTAATTAACATCTTTCTATTTGATACTTGTGTAGTGTATTTGGAATAATCATTGTATCGATAGAATATCCGATTCCACCACTACGAAATACAATTCTCACAAATACATTTTTCATAAAAATATTTTTTTATTTAATTTTTGGAGCTTTCTCAATTATAAATTATCAAAATGTTAATCCCGGATTATATTTAATTATCTCAAGCCTAATGTATACAAAAGCTTCCATCAATCACGAAACGACCAAACCGAAAGTTACTTCTAGAGTCTAAACTTTTATAATCTTAATAATCAAATAAACTTAAATTATAGTTTTAAAATAATTAATAATTTAATAGTTTGCATTAGCATTTAATTGGTTAATTAATAAAAATAGATGGTAAAAAATACAATCAATTTGATTTTATAAATAAATACAAAACAAATATTTTCGGACAAAAAATTTTTCTTTATTTTTTTTATATAAACAATTGATTGATTTTTTTTTTTTTGAGTTTCGAATAAAAGATATTGTTTCATAGCAATATATCATATATATTTATATTTATTTATTTATTTATTTATAAATAAACCTAAGAATATTATTTTTTTCTTTTAAAAATACAAATTAAAAAAAAAATTTGCCATAGAGAAAAAATAAAAATTCTTTTGCCAGAAAAAAAAATTTATTGTGTATGAAAATAATGAAATCAATATGCGAGTGTATGTTATATAAATGTTTGTAAATATATACTATATATAAACACTTAAATGCTAAATAAAATAGTTTGTGTATGTGCGTGTGTATATATATAAATATGTGTTTTTAAATTAAAATATGTATGTTGTTTCTATATAAAAAAGATATGTATATATAAAGAAATAAATTGCATAATAGAAATAAATTATTTACTATTTTTAAAACATCCTTCACAAACTTTTGACCATACACCTCCCCAATCTTCACTACCATCAGGAAATAATAACATAGAGTATCTAGTATGTGCATTACAAAAAATATTTCCACATCTAAAAAAAAAAGAGATTAAATAATTAATAATTAATTAAAATAATTATTATTATACGAATATATCAATCGATTTAATATAATTAAAATTACCTTCTACAATGATGTCTTCTATTCCATAAATTGAAGTTCACACTACAACCTGCTTGTTGACACATTGATACTTCATCATCTTCAACCCATCTTTTTGCTAACCCTATATAAGTTATTAATTACTTATTTAATTATTATTATTAATAATATTTATTTATCTAATTAATTTACTTTATTTCACATACCAAAACGAGATTGATGTCTGACACGTTCCTCATCAGTGAATAATGATATTGGGTTTGTATATGATTGTCTACGAGACTAAAATAATGTCATAAGTTAAGATATGTATATGTTAGAATACATATACAAATTATATACGCTAAACACATATACATACACTACACATAGAAATATATACACATATATATATATACCTGAGGTGGTGATAGACAACGAGCAGGTACTAATTCAGAAGGATTGAATTCATCAGAACTATGATGATGATGATGATTGCTATTGTTGCTTTCTCTTGATCTAGATTTTTGTAAGTTTATTGAATCAACTGATTTGTTGTTTGTCTGATGATGATGGTGGTGGTGATAGTGATGGTAATGATCTCTCTTGTTAACACCATCATGATTTACAAGTGTGAAATTTGAACCTACAGATGATTTATTACGATTATGACTATGGATATGATGTAACTTATACTGATTGTTATAAGTTTTATTGGTTTTTTTGTTGTTGTTGTTGTTGTTGTTGTTGTTGTTGTTGTTATTATTATTATTATTACTACAGCTATTATTATTACATTGACCTGATGACAACAAAGAATTTTTACGTTGTTGTTTTTCGTTTCGTAAACGAACCATTTTACCCTCCAATTCTTTTAATAAACCTTCCATTGAATTAATCATGCCAGATTGTCCTTCAGTCACCGCTTCACATTCCCTCAGTCTTTCCAAATATTCTTTTTCTTTTTCTTCCAGTAATAATTCTATTTTTTCTTTGAAATTTATCAATGTCATAAAATCTTTTTTGCTTTTTTCAATTTCTGATTGGAATAATTCCAATTCTTTTGCTTGTTTAACACAATTGTTCATTATCATTTTACATTCCAGTGGCAACTCATCACTACTATTGCTACTACTACTACTACTATTATTAAAAGTATCACTGTCATCATAAAATATTATTGATGATGTTGATATATCGTCTTCACAGTTTACTATTGTTGACAATTCCAAAGAAGGTTTTTCGATTCTAGAATTTAGCAGAGCATTATAAGTCTCTAAATCTTTTGTACTTGATTCCAAAGTTTTAGTAACTTCTTTTTTAGTTTCTTGATATTCTTGTTCAAGTTGTTTCTTCCCTTCCAACATTTTCTTATGATTTGCTTGTAGTGATACCAAACTACTTTTCACAGCAATGATTTCTTTTTTTAATGTATAGAATTGCCTTTTAAAAGATGAAGATCTCTTGATTTTTGAATCTATTATTTCTTCATCGTCTTCTTCTGAAGATAAAGATGACGACGATGACGACGACGAGAATGTATAATGTGATTCTACTTCATCATCATTATCATCATCATCATCATCATCATCATCATCATCATCATCATCATCATAAATCATATCTGTTACTTTCTCTATATGTTCATTAAAATATTTATTATCATTATTATTATTATTAACATTGTAATAAAAATTTTGATATTCTTGTTTTGAAGGGGGGGTCATTGATACTCTTGGGATATAATTTGATGATGATGTTATATCAAACATTAATCTTGGTGGCCTTGGTATGTTTAATTCTTTGCTATTACCACCGTCACCACTATTGTTATATTTTGATTGAGTTGTTATATATGATTTATTCCGATTATTATTAAGTGATGATGGTATTCTTACTGCTTTTACGTTAATATTTGCTGCAAATATATTATTTGAACTATTTGATCTCCTTCTTTGTCTCTAAAATAATAATTTTTGAGAAAAATTTTTTAAATGATTAGAATATTATTGAGCATCTATTTATATATAGGTTTTTATATGTACGATATAGCATGGTGCATATAATTGTTTATAAAAGGAAGAAAAGGGTGATTATTGTGATTCTTATTGAATAAGTAAATAAGTAAATTTTTAATTATCTTAAAATATCGAAAAAATGCAAATTTATCTCCCTTTTTTTTTAAAAAATAAAAATTGCTTGTAAAAACTAACAATAATAATTAATAATATATTATTCTATTATGATGATTACTATTAGATGATTATTACTTACTGGAGGTTTCCGATTGGTATATTTATCTTTAGATTTATTTGAAAATGGCTCCACTGCCAAATTCATTACTAAATAATCTTTTGAAATTCAAGATTTAAAATTTATTACTAATAAAAAAAAATATCAAATTTATTTTGGGACAAAAAAATTTTTTTTAAAAAAAAAGCTTAATATATATATATATATTATCTTTTTGTAAATATTAAAAAAGCATGTTTTTTGATAATAATAAAAAGATGAATTTTTAGGTGATCATTCCGTGCGTAACAATAATAATAATAATATTTAGTATTTTTTTGGGGGATGATCATGAATGAAATGCTCCTTTTTTTATTAACACCAATCACTTTAAAAATTTTTTTTTTGTTTTTCGATAATTAATTAATCGTTCTTTTTTAATGATCATTGATTTTTAATTAAATTGTTGTTAGTATTACAACAATAATTTCCTCAATGAGTTTTTCTGCTCATTATAGTATGTGATTGATAAATAGTTTTCCGTGGTAAATTCTATAAATATTTGGAATCTACTTTATTAGCCACTTTCTCAAAATTCGATGAACAAAGCCACACTAACTTTAAAGGGAATGAAGGTAGGTTTGACCGAAAATGTGAAACTACCTACCCTACATACATATAGAGTTGGAGTTTATTTTTAGAAAACGTTTACATGAATATATATTAATATTTTTAATATATATATACAGTTCACAAAAATTCGCTTATTTAGTATGTTCCTTTTTTTGTTTTGGTCAACAAAATGAAAAAAAAAAACAGATTTTAAAAAGTCCTTCCTTCCTGGCACATAAATAAATCAAACATTGAAGAACAACCAATTCACATGTCAAGAATTGATAATGCTCACACTCGAACTTTTCCCCAACTTTTTTTAATGTTTATCATACATTTCTTTTGAGAAAACATGCGGTGTGGCAAAATGTAAATAATTATGTGTGGCTGTAAATTCTTATTTGTCATGTATAACCAGTTGTGGAAAATTCTTTTAATTAAAAATGTGTGCTTATAAATTGGAAGATCATTACGTTATACTGAGATTCCGTTTTACAAATGAATTTATATTCATTGCAATTACTTTAACAAATTGTTGCAGTGAGATACGCACGTTTTGATATGGGTGTTCTAGAAGTTGGTGTTGTATAATCATAGTATTCACTGGTGAGATTATTACATGTGATACCCGATTAATTTCGCCAGCCATCAAAAAAAGTCATTAATTTCTAAAGGAATTACTTGGGAAAATAATATATTTTATTTATTATATAATTATTTTACAAACATATGGGATTCTCTACTGAAATGAAACTAGGGGTTCCCCGACAAAATTGAGTTTTTGCATTGGCAGGCTAAGTGAACATTAAGATTATCAGAGTACTAAATCATACCTTTGTCACAGCGGATGAACAGGACACATAATAATAAGAAAATTTTATTTATTGTGACAAGATTATAATTATAATTAGTAGTCTTGCCACAGCGGATTTTTATATGTTTTATATGTGAGGAAAAAATTTTAAAATTTCGTTATGGCAAGGATTTGATTATCTCAATCTCAAAGTATTCTTTTGATGGTAACACAAATAATTTATTTGATCACGATCTTGCATTCTTATTGGCTGATTTAAAAGTCTGCAAAGTAAAAAAAGTCAATCGACCAACTTTTAAAGGGTAACAACCGAATTTTTATTTACAGGTCAATACGCTGAATCTCAGAAATCATTTTCGTATTAAGAAGTGATACCTTCAGAAAAAGTTTTTTATATAGTGCAAGTCACCTTAGTCCCACAACTTTCTGTGCCACGCCGCAATAAAAATTTTACAGTCACATGATTTTTGAAAATTTCAATTTATTCCTATATATACATATGTAAATGATGATTAGAACAATAAACAACAACAATAATGATTATAGTGATGCTATTAAAATAAAAGTGAAATTTATATAACTATTGAATGATTGATAAAACCTTTGTTAGTATATTTTTTTCATAGATCTTGCTTGTCCTTAAAGCTTACTCCTACACAAACTATTAAATAATTGATAAATGTTCATTAGAATATTTTGCAAATTGCATATTTCTTTGATTAATGCAATAGTCTATTTGTTAGATTTAAAATAAATGAATTTAGCTGTTCTTTGTATTTTTTTTTTAATAATAAAGATAATTCTCTTCCCGTTCATCTAGAAAATTCACGTGACAAAGATCTGCAATATAAGGGAAATTTTTCAGATTTTTATTTTTGTTTCAATTCATCTATTTTTGATATTAACTTTTTTGTGTGTAACACGTCATTTTAGGGCTAAACATAGTAAATTCAGTAAACTCGTGCAACTTTGAAGCTAAAGACTAGTGCCGTAATCCAAAAAAGGAAAAAGTATGGTTGCAAAAGTGGTTGCAAAGGTAATTGCAACCACTTTTTATATGCCGTAGATACAATTACTACCATCATCATAATTTACGGCACTAGTCTTTATTTGAAGCTCGAATTCTCCACAACAATATGACATATCAATGAAATGAAATCGTGATTTTGTAAAGGAAGGTCTTGGCTTCAAATACACGATTTATTTTGGGGTGTTGCATTTCCATTTTTGGAGAATTTGAAAAATCTACATAACCAATAAAAAGCTGTGGGACTAAGTGACTTGCATCATAAAACAGAAAAAAATTTTCGGCTATTACAATCAAATAGCCGAAAAACTATTTAAGGGATAGTCCGTTGTGGCGAGGACCGTTGTGATAGTGACAAGGTTTGATGACTGTATGGCGGATTCACACACCCCCAAAATTTTAGTGACCAACGTTTAACAAATTTCAACCAATAAAAAGCAAGAATACTTATTTACAAAATTTTTGAAGGAAAAACGAGCATAAATATAATAATAAAAGGTAAAAAATACAGATGCACGTTGCTAATCCAATCAAAGATTTTATAAACCAAAGCGGTCTATATGCATGCATATTTTATATGTTAAAAAGGTTAAATACCATTACTAAATGAAACTATTTGTTCAATCTCTCCTTGTTGGTAATGGTGATGAAATAATGTTCTAAAAGATTTCTTTGTTTTTTTTTTTTTTTTGATGGTCGGTCGCGTAACAAGTATCAGATGGATTGTTTAATCATATATAGATCAGTTTTTTCTGAAAGGAATAATAAAAGCATTAATTGATTCTTAATATAATTAATCTGATAAAATAATATTTCCCTTGGTCACTTACATAAACAAAGATTGCTAGATTGTCTAATTGTAGATTAGTTTTTTTTTCTGAAAAAGAGAATGAAGGTATTTATTATTAATTGACACCTTGGTAAAAAACAATATTTCTTTTTTTTTTCCTTTGTAGTCGCGTTCACTACCAAATATATTAATATTAATATTAATATTGTCTACTATGGATTCGATTTTTTTGAAAAAAGAAATAAATATATATAATAAGATAATAAAATTTTGCTGTTTAATGTATGTGTTGATCCAGGCTCTAGATTAGATGTAAATGATAAGAACATTTTTGATCCAATGAAGTTTCTTCTACGATATGCGATATGTAGGTATACCCAGTCTGAAATATTACACATTTAGTGATATTATGTAAAAAAATCAATAAATATAAATAAAATATTTTACTATGGACGTTTTTGATCACAACAAGTCATCCAATTTTTAGTCATATTGAGTATTGAGTGATCTAGAATATAACAAAAATGAAAAATGAAAAATGAAAACTTAACATCATATACTATGCTTTATTGCACTTGGACATTTTTGATCAAAAGAAGTTGCTTCTAATAAAAATCAGCAAACACTTGATATAAATAAATGATCTCATACTTCTCTGATATTAGAGTTTTCAGTGGAACATTCATGCAATATCCAAAAATAAAAAGTGAAATAATGTATTAATATTTCAATGGAAGCATGTAAATTTGCAAAAATAAAAATAAAAATAATTCTTGATTGTTTATGAAGAAAATTGTTGTTTAAATAAACAATGCATTAATAGCTTGAGAGGCAAGCTGTTTAATAAACAAATTACATTACAAACACTATTAATTCGCCTTCAAAAAAATTATCAACTTTTCAATATGTTGCTGCATTCGCCCAACCCACCAATAAAAATTGATTTAAAATACATCTTGTAAATGTTGTATTATTACTTCTTATTTCCTTTCATTTAATAATAAACAAACAAATATAACAGATATGCTGAGAAGTTGGAAAGACTAAGTAAGTTGAAGATGAGGAATATAAAGACAAAAAGGAGTTGAAGTGGTGAAAAAAAACTAAAAGAGATAAATGAGATGAACAAGTTAAAAAATTACAAGATACATTAATGAGAATTACTATAGAAACAGGTAGGCACAAAGTAAAGCATAATAAAAATCATTTTATACTCATTCTATTTCATTTATCTACTTATTCATTTGAGGGATTTTTTTATAATTTTAATCAACTTGGATCCTTTTTTGTCTGTTATCTACATCTTGACTCCCATCAACATTTTTTTCTTTATTTTAGACTCAAAAGTAGTGATGCAATTCATGGACATCCATTCATCTGCATCATCCATTCATTACTCAAAAAATACACCCATTGGATTTCATTGGATGGTCTGGATAATCAGATTGAATGGATTGAACGGATTATCTGTTGGATTGAAGAGATTATATATAGTAATAGTGATAGATTAGTAATTAGAAACATAATAACAGTAATGGTAATAGCAAAATATTATTATCAAAAGTATAGAAATACCAATAATTTTGATGTTTATTGCATTCAAAACTAATTTGATAGGTGAATAGATTTAATACAACTTGAATTTCTTTTTAAAAATAACACATGTTTAAATGATTATTCTAAATTTTAAATGTGACCTCTTACCAATTAATAAATTTCAAACAATCTTTCACTTGGTGTTGAGGTTACAGAAATTGTTTTGCAATCAAATTCAAATCCACCTTCTTTTAAATACTTGCTAATTTCATCCAAAGATGTATTTTGACTTGATCATAAAAAGTTGTATTATTCTTTTGGTGCTATTGTATGTGAAAATATAGTCTATATGAATAAAATGTTCTTATTTATATTATCGAGTTTACATAATTTATTTCGTAATAGTAACTCGGATATTCGTAATGATAATAATAACCATTTCAGATATTCGTAATTTAGATATTCATAATAGTAATTATTTCAGATACTTGTATTATTTTAAAAAACATTTGTAACAATTACAAATATTTAGAAACATTTCAAACATTTGGTACAATTATAAATATTTGTTTAATTACTTAATTTTCAAGTATGTGTTTCAACATTAGAGGGTGAGCTAACCCATGTTTATGAATATGCAAGATATCTAACAACCAATTTGGAACTTTTTTCATCTATTTTGCCATTATCGTCGGATAATTCATCAACCACCATCCAAAAAAAACATAAGAAAGATATGCTATGTGAGAGCTTCATTTGGGTGATAATGGAAGTGTAAAAACATCCCAAGTTCAAGTAAAAGCGTCTTCTCAAAACCCAAATGGAATATGGTTTTTTCTTTTATAGCAAATATAATTTAGTAGGTATACTGTAATTTGTCAAGTATTTATTAAAATTGAAATAAACACAAGTGTTTGAAATAATCATGAATATTCAAAAATATTTGAATTACGAATATTCAAATAAATATTTGAGATTACAGCCAGGGAACCCTAGAATAAGTTAATCTCAAAAAATAATGCCATTACTTACTTTGTATATTAAAAAAATGCTGTATGTGATATTTAAGAATTTACTATAGAGGAAATGCAGATTTGGGGAATTACATTTGACACTTCATCCAATTCTTCTCTGAATTTATACAAGTAGGTTCATTATTATAATCATTATCTATTAGTATAATTAAAAATGAATTTATTGGATTTTAAAATATGATAATAATAAATAAATGATATGGACCATCTAGATATCCTATAATAATAAGCTATCTGTCAATCTATTTTTTTTTTTAGGAATATCCAGATTGATTATTCACTGTAAATTTGGTATTGTCATTGAAGAAATTTGTGAAGGTACTAGAAATTCATCCAAAAATAATTCACCATCTTGTTAATAACATTTGTAATGGAACTTCCTTGCAAAATATTATTTTTAGACTTAGATGCTACTGAAGAAGATTGTGTTAGTTGATAAAAAGGTACTATAAACCTACCTGAAGATAATTTACCATCTTGCTCTACATTAATAACATTTATAATGGAACTTCCTTGTAGGATTTCTTTTAGATCTAGGTGTTACTAAATGAGATTGTGTTATATAGTTATAAAAAAATGTGTCATGAATATCATTAACACAAAAAAAAAGATTTAACATTTGCCATGTCACGATCTCCTTCCAAAACTCGCAAGTCATGCGACTTCCGTGCGGTTTTCTCGCCGATTGTCTCCTTTTGCGTCTAGCCGTGCCTGGTCTTTTCGGTTTTTGGTGCGATCAACGTTTTCACCATATTTAGCAAAAATTATGTCATACGGCAAATGTTTTGTTTTATAAAACAGGTTGCAAAGCAATGCGTTGCAATTGAAACTGAAAATCTTTGTTTTTTAAACCTAATTTTTTGGGAAGGAATTTTTTGCTTTCGCTGGGTGGTAATTTCAGAAAAAATTTTTTTTCTGAAAAAAAAATTGATCTACATAATTTTTATTGCAAAGAAAAAAAAATACAAATAGGAATGAAAAAAAAAAATTTGATCTATGTAATTTTTATTGCGAAAAAAAAAAAATACAAAGAATAATAAATCCTAACTTTTTAAAGAAAAAATGAAGATGGAGATGAAGATGACTAATTATGATAGTGAAAATTATGATGATGATAATGATTTTTGATGAATTTATTAATTTAGAAGATATTGGTAACAATCAAGAATTCTATGAAGATGTTTATTATACAATTAGTATTTAAATATTCAAACCAAAATTGTTATATTATTACATATTAGTGGTATATACCACAATCGATTTCTTGTGTACTTTTTTAGTAGGGTATATACCACTCAATCTTTTATAATATGCTATATACCATCCCTATTTTGGAGCCTTATACGGAATATAATAAAATTCAACAGTCATGTGATTATTTTGTATCAGTAATGAATGATTGATTGAATTTTCCGGTTAAAAAATTTTGCATGACTAACTGGTTAACTCTTAATATTAATTTTAATGGTTAATTAACCAGTCAAAGAATTTTTGCAGGTGCCAACCTCTAGTTTTATTTAGTTGAAACTAATTTGTTATTAACTTATTTCTAAGTTAAACTCATTACAAAGTTAAAACTTTATTACAAAATTATTTACACAAATAAATTAATTAGTAGCATTTTCATTACGATCTATCTAGCATCCCAATTACTTAATTACTATTCAGCAATTTAATTACTAGTCTGCATTTTTTGTGCTGGCGATTTAATTCCAATTAACATAGCAAATGCAATATTATAATGAATAAAATAATGAATAATTAAATTATTTAAGACTGAATTAGAGTATTTCAGCTGAAAAATCACCATTAAATTCTAATTCTAATAGTAAAGTCAAGCATTATCTGAACAA